ATGGCCCATAGCAGCATTAGATTGATTAGCACCCAAAATACCACAGATATGGATAAAATGTAGGAAATCCCTGTTGCATTTGGGCTACGTCAAGGGTAAGGCTTGGTTAGGTTTGGTCACAAACCCAATTTGATTATGGTTGTGAAAAGATCATGGTAAGTGTTAAAATAAGATCATTACATGATAATTGTCCAATTGGTAAAAATATTAAGCACAGTTATGTTCAGATTTGGGGTTGAAGGCTAGATGTAGCTAAACCACTGTACTTAAGTATGGGTTGTAAAAAAAAAACAACAGGTTGCTCAAACAACCCATTAGCAAATTTTGTACAGGAGGACAGGCTCACTGTAGCTACTTGTTTTGTCAGTGTTTCCCAGCCCCATTGCTATGGCTCATTATTCATTATATAGATTGTGGTATGGCCTTCTAACAAATAAATTGTTCTGTGTTCCTACTTTGTGTGTACTGGCTTACTGTCCTTTTAGTATGTATTGTGGCGGTATATGAGCATCCCAAGCTTAAAAAAGTTTAAAAACTACACTATTAGTACTATTAGTTTAAGTAAGAAAAATGCAGAGTTCATCGTCATCAAAAGTGTTACATTAATACATTATGTATAATGATATATAATATCACAGCATGTATTTATATGGATTTTAATTGCCATGGGTTTTCATGAAAGAAAAATGCATTTATGCGTCTTCTGTCATACGACCTGTATAACTTCTGATGAACAGCAACAAAACTACTTAGCTAAGTGAGACTAAATATTTCTTTGAAGCAGGTTACATGCTGTGAGAAAAAGTTAAATCCCATGATTTCCATCGTCAATCAAGGGATTAATTACCCTTAACTCAATGTCCCACTGGTCGTGATAGGGGCGTTGCATAAGCACATGATTGAGTCTTTGATGTTGAGGCAGTTGGAGCATTCCAACTGTCCACAGTTGCATTGGGGACCTACTTTCCATTGTCCTTAAGCTGTGGTGGTTCCACTGCCTCACAAACTCACCCATAGATCTGTTAATTCTTGGAAGGTAAACATGGTAAAGAGCCCTAATGTGAAATGGGTCAGTGCTATCTAAAATCCCAACATTTTCCATAAAGAGGAAAAGGTCTTATAAGTATGCTGCAACAGCCTGTTTAGTTCTCCCTACAATCTTTCAATTCTTTGATTATAAACACTACGTCCAACCAAAAACTTCCCCTGTTTGCCCCTCGATTCTCAATCATAAACCGTACAATATCAATATTTTCACAACCAGCGTCACTCCTGACATGATGTGGGAGTCCAAATACATGAACACCTCCCTGGAAAAGTTGCAGGTAGGTAATGCAGCGGCTATAGCCATCAACTACATTATTGTCACCATACTAGCAACCAAATAATGTACTGATATATAACAATTTTATTTTTAGCAGGTTACCGTGTTGTTACCATAACATTATTGTACTATACTAACTAGTTGTGTGTTGTTGCCATCATTAAATGTGATTCACTGTTATTACCTGGTTACATAACTTTCAGTCTTATTACCCAGTTAATAAGAAGAGATTACCTGGTTATTAATTTAGTAATAACATGGTATTATTTAATTGTCTTCATTATCAAACCATTACCCCATTATTTCTATGCTTATCTAGCTGTGATGTAAAGTGCTAATGTAATGTTTTTTTCATATGCCATGATAGCTCATTATTTAATTAACATAGTTTTGGTCCTCCTAAATGCATACATCTTTCTAACATGCTTTATTCAGCAGCTTGGAAGTAGCCTAACGACTGTAATTTAATCAAATTTTCACAACACATACCACACTTGATTTGGGACAGAGACATTGTAGACCCTCCGTTGAATTGCCCTTTGTCCTCTTAAGGCTCTTCCTACTGGATCTACTATTCTTAATCGCACTCGCCAAGGCTCAACTCTGATCCCTCTCCCAACTACCAGTGATGTAGGTCTCTCTGAACAAGGGGTTTGTCTAAGAACTTCAGTAATAAAACGATCAAGATCATCATTTGAAATCTTGGTAAAACTCCCATAGTCCAGTAAACCAAGTTGTGTCCTGTGGTTGTACAGTGTTCAAATGTTTACAGACAATATTCGAGATATGGCCATCAAACTAAATCCTAAATCCCGCATGTGAGTCAGCTGAACAGCTGATATGTTGTACCTTTAAAAGAGAAAAAAAGAAATGTGTTAATGTATGTTGAAAAACTCTGTAACCACTGTTACAAGTAAAAGTACTGTATTGGAAATATTAAACTACTTCAGTAAAAGAACAAAAGTATTAGCAGTACCAAAACAAAGTAGCCTACTCATTATGCAGAATAGCCAATTTCAGAATAATATATATTATATTTAGTGGTGGACAATAATGATTAATTTACTTAAGTACTGTACTACTGTTTTGAGTATCTGTGGGTCTACTTGAGTTTGTCCTCTTTTTATTTTTACTTATGACTTTCACTCCACAACAATTGAAAGACAGTATTGTACTTTTGACACTACTACATGTCTATAAAGGTTCTTGTTAATTGATACTTAGAAGCATAGCTTTAGAATCAAGAATTTTCTTTTCTAAAATGCGATCAGCCAATACGCTTTGTGGAGAAAAAACAATCACAGCAAACTAAAGCTCCTACGCTGTCAGTCAAGTTCAAAGTGTTTGCTGCATTTTTGAACAGTTCAATTTGTTCAGTGTTTAGTGTTGCTGTTGGGCAGTCATAAAGCTAGAGATGTGTCAGGCAATCAGTGCATTCACTAGGTTGTTTCAGAGTCATTAGGTTCTGTAAATGCATTGTGGCAACAATACAACAATGTGTTAACATTATAAGAAATTTGACTTCTGAATGTTGAGTATTTTTAAAAGCAAGTATTCTGATTGTTTCACTTAAGTTTAAATTTTAGTGAACATACTTTACTTCTATTGAAGTTTGCTCACCACTGATTATATTATTGTATCATAATTATTGATAAATTATTGTGTTTTTTGTTTTAATGTTGCAGCTGGTAAAGGTGGATATCAATTTCATTTATTTATATTGATGGTATATATTTTACATACTGCTGAGTAGCTTGTGAATTTCTTCATGGGGACCAGTGTTACTTACATGTCCCAAAGAGACTCATAAATTCCTTCAAGAATGATGCATAACGTTCTTTCAGCAACATTTTGTTGAACAGGATTGCTCATAAGCACTAAGAATATCACAATAATGGAAATATGATCCTCAAGGTGACCCATTTTAATTTCCCAACTATTTTTTTATATATAGGCTATATATAATATGACTATTTCATTCGATGCCATTTTGTAAATCCAGTACACACACCAAGTGAAGTCTGTGCGAGTGAACACACGCACTGACCCCGCTAGACCCCCACCCCCCACCCCCCATGCCATCGTCCATCCTGATGTGTGTGTGTGTGTGTGTGTGTGTATAACCAGGACATGGTTACGATTTCTGACCATAACCACATCCAGTGAGTACAAATTGTTAGTCAGTCATCGGTCAATCCTATAAGTAAATATGGAGCATCATCTAAGATCAAATTTACGATGATTGTGTCGTGTGACTGCAATGTTATGCTAATTGTGTGTGTCTGTGTCTCTGTTTTTGGCTTTTCTATGATGTTGCAAATGGATCTGCTGTAATGCAAGAAACATTTCAGACTCGATCTGACAAAAAAGTATCATCATCATCATTATCCCAAAAAGAAAAGTCACATTACCTTTTTGGATTCAGTCTTACTGCGTGGGAGATCTGTGCATTTTCAACAAGCACAAGGACTGCACGGAAAAACAATCTCATGATAGGAGCATACAATAGGCACATTTGGTGCTGTGTGCTTGTTTCGTTGGATTTGTAGAAGGTATAGAAGGAGAAGAAAAGGAGACAGAGACAATGATGAAGACAACACTGTATCACAGAAGCCTCAAAAAACACTAACAATAAACTCCTCTATTGTGTATGGCCATGCTGAAGTCTCACCCAGAAATTTGGAGGACAAAGTCCACATTGGACCTAGACTGAATTCCTTTAGATGTAGCTCAGTGGATGAAAGTACCATGAACATGTCCCACAGGCCTCCCTCTGTTTCACAGAACTAATTCTTTCCTTAATGCTGCGATTAGACCTCTGTGCTGCACTGCTGACTAAATGCCTATTTGTTCCTTCCTCTAGGTCTATGCTTAGAAACTACAGCCAAATTACTGAAAGTAAAATTAAACCTGCTGTCTCTGTTTCACAAACAAGAAGAATCCTCTGTTAATAAAAGGTGTTAATTTTTCTAATATTTTTTAGCATTTTTTCTAGCCATTTATTCAAGAGATCTACAGTCATAAAACCAACATTATTTTTGTTTTGGTTATTTGCTAATGATCATATCTGTTTAAAGGCCATAGTTTGTTATGGTTAAATTATATTCTATTGTATTCTTACAATTGTTGCTATTGTTTTGTATACTTCATCTGCCTAGAATATTATGTGTTTAAACAATTATCACATTTCACTATTATAAAGCAGACAGAATTCCATGTGGCAGAAACTCCAACTTTGAAACCAGAAACCAAAACATTAGTGGAGATTCCTTTATAGCTCCCCCCCCCCCTTTTCTCTGAACTATATTAAAAGCAACTGATAATGGTGCATAGCTGTAGAAAGCTAAGGCAGAGTGGTAAAGAGAACACGGCAGCAAAAGGGGGGATGGTAGCAATTTGCTTCAGAGGAAATCTGGAACCTATAAACTTGGGCAACTTCTATGACAAGAAGTAAACGTCAGAATGGTTCAATTTGGTTGGCTGTACAACATACCTTTGTCTCCTCCTTGTCCTTTTGATCGGACCAATCATTTTAGATTCATTCTTCCTGTTTTCATAAGCTCAGCTGTCCAAAAACAGTCCTCTGGACCAATCAGTAAGTCAGATGGGTGGGCAGCTGAAAGTTTCATGGTTCCCTCCCTTTAAAAAGTCAGAGTCAGGTTGCCTCACACGCAGCTACAGAAGCGGGACATGAGAACATTCGGGTTCACCGATGCAGTATACACTCACAGAGACTGGCAATAGATGACTTGACTTGTAGATGAAGAAGCAGTGTGGCAAAATAAAAGTGAGTGCTAATTACTCGCCCATTTTGGCTTGGCATGTATAGATGTGACAAAGTGTAAATCTGATAACTGTTGGAGAAGAAGAACAACATAGCAGAAAGCCGGAGAAGCACACAGCGTAACGGAAGCAGTTTCAGAGGATGAATAGAGAGTAAAACTGTGTGAAAGAAGCAGAGGAGGACTGGAGAGACACACATTGAAGGAAAGAGAGAAGCACACAATATAGAGAAGGAGTGAAGGATAGTCACATAAAGGAGAGAGAGGAAAGAAGAAGAACCTGGAAAAGCATGAGAGAGGAGGAGCAGTCTAAAGATGACCACCCTGAGGGAAGGGTGGTTTCCAGTGAGGAAGACACAGGAAGACAACCTTTGAACGCCTGTCCCGTCGTTGTGGCAAAACCAGGGGTCACCCGGCATAAACGGCTGATGGGCACACGTCATGTTACCACAGTTACTCCCCCCACCCCAGCAGACAATGGCCAGACAGGGGACGACACCCAGATTTACACGCTGACTGGACCTAAAAGACTCAAGAGGAGCCCTCAACATCGACCACCTTCCTCAGACTGGTCCATTTCTCCTGACCCCGGTCCTTGTCCCGGTAGTCTCTCAGCCCTTGAGGACCCACACGGCCAGCGGGTGATAGCCAACATCCGTGAACGGCAGCGGACGCAATCTTTAAACGAAGCCTTCGCCTCATTGCGTAAAATAATCCCAACTCTCCCCTCCGACAAACTAAGCAAGATTCAGACCCTTAAGTTGGCGTCGCGATACATTGACTTTCTGTACCAGGTTTTGCAGAGTGATGAGTTGGACACTAAGATGGCTGGATGTAACTACCTGGCCCACGAGAGACTGAGCTATGCCTTCTCTGTCTGGAGGATGGAGGGTGCCTGGTCGACCATGTCTGCTGGTCATTAGCTCAACCTTAATGCAAGATTTGTCCTTTGATTGTTGCCCTAAAAAGTGGGATGAATTCCTCATTACAGGGAAATATTCTTACTTAACACAGAGTGCTGAGGAGGCGTCTGAACTGTGTCTGCTTACCAGTGGACTATTTATCACCTCAACTTAGATTATCTGTCTGTCTCAGTGATGATGGAAAGACTATCTGACAGTTGATAAGTAGAGATTCTAGTTTTATGTGAGTATTTGGATGGAGCTGGTTTTTAAGCCACTACCCCTTCATGAAAATTGCAGTTTTCATTGTTCATTTCAGATGTGACTATGGATTGATTCTATTGTTTCTCTTGCCAAAAGCAGCTATTGCGTGCAGGGACATTGTTGTCAGTGTGTGATTCCTAGACATTTGTACTGTCTACATAGATGACAATGGATGACAGGACAATCTGAGATACAAAGACACCCAGACATCATTCAACATTAACCAACCTGATGGTTAACGATGCCCTGTCCTAAATGTTGCCTCTACCTGACAGCACAGCTCACCCTGCTGGAACCCTCTGACATCTCGGCTTTCTAGGGCTTTTGGAGCTTGACCTCTGGTTTCATCCTCATCATCACCCTTGATTTTATCACCATAAATCACCATAACTGACATCAGTATGATCATCATCATCATTAATATCTTCATCATTATAGGTATGCATATTTTGAGCCACATTTTAACTTCATTAAATGTTTTTATTTAACTTTATTTCTGCCTTGGCTAGCAAGTGTTTAAAGTTTTTTAATATATACAAAGAGCAACAACTACAGCATACAGGAAAGGAATTAGAAAAAAGTGGACAACTGGAAAGACAAAATTTGATGTTTGAGATACATTTTGAGATGAGACATTGGACCTTTGACTTTTCTGTACACTTTCAACTCCTACTTTTCCAAGAGTCTGACATATTACTCTGAACCAAAGTCATGGTGGAAAAACTAGCTGCAGGCAGCAGCCTAACTGAATTTTCTCCTCTTTATTTTCAAACCAAGCCCTTTTGTTTCTTCTAGTGCCAAAAAAACTCTCCTAGAATTTCTTTCCTCTCATTCTGGCCAAAATTTGCTTGAGTTGCACAAAACCATGATGCGGCTACAGCGAGGCATAATGAAAACAAACAGTCTCTAAAAGCCATGAATCATGTGTGTCACCATCAAAGGGGAGGCTGATGTGGCTCCCCACTGGGCTCCCATAAACCAATGGAAGTGATGGAGGAGGTGAGAGCTGATTAATGCACACACAAATGTGCACACAGGCATAGGTGTAGCCATGTAGCCAGAACTGCCCAAAGTCTTGGGTTCGCAAAAAAGAGTGCCATTTTATTTAAATGTCCATAATCACATCCATGATTACCATATTATATACATGCATTAAACAAAAAACTAAAAGTCAGTTTTTGTATTGTTATACCACTGTTTGTTGTCTTACCTGCCAAGCAAATGAACCTGCAAGGTTAAGCTTATATTTAATACAAACAACCGTATTCAAAATATATGGGGTTGACATGCTGTTTGTATTCAATACATATCCATGAACCACTTCTTACTTGCCAACATGCATGAAGCCCAGCAACCTATCATTAGAATGTCCTAGGGAGGTAGCTAACGTTTCCAGCTCCTATGAAGAAAGCACAGTGTGGTCTCAGAAGGCTAACCTTCACAGACATGTCAGTAGACACTTGACATTAAAAAATAATTGAGTTATGGGCCAAAAGAGAAAAGCAGCCCCTATGCATTTTGTATTGAGTGGCTTATTTAATAATCTGGGAGAGTAATTTTGAATGCATATTAATTTCATAAAGCATTTGTCGACTTACTGAGACACTATGACAGCTACTTATTGGTATCAGAAAATTTACATTGAAGCAAATTTGGCAGTACCCTGTTGATGTCCTAGTTATTTTGTAATTATTTTATTCATATGTCTAAAATCCAATAATGAATTTGTCAATATGTGTCCAATATGACCTCTACAAACTTTTAAATGAATCTAAGTGGTTACCAAAATATCATATCTGCCTTTTTGTCTTTCCAGCTGCTGAATGAAGGGGCTGTGACCTTCACTGTACATCTCTGGTCCATGCTACCATTTCTGCCATTCTAATCATTTGGCCTTTAATGCAGATCTCACATTTTGGATAAAAGGAATATTTAAGATAATTAAAAGGCATCTTGATCAGTAGGCAGACTGACTAGTGGAAAGAGAGCACATCTCTGTACCAACTAAACCAACAAAGAGCTTTATTGAAAATAAATGGACAACACAGGTCAAGCAATATTTGTGTTCAGTTTTTTCTTAAAGTACTATATTCCAAGATATTATCCTAAGGAAACAGTTAAAGAAATTTCAAGCTAGACTTAAGTCTCAGAATGCGATTAGTGTCTGTCTCTTGCACACCAGTTTACAGACAGGGTGTGAGATTTTTTAAGGAGCATGTACTTGAAGTATGTACAGTGTGGTGCTATACAAATGAATGTCACAGTATGATAAATATCACAAGCAGAAAAAGCAGAGAATTGCCCTGGAGAATTAGTTGTAGTATTTTTCTGAAAAAAAAACTTTCCTCAAACAATGAAATTTGTGTTTTGTTAAAACTGGATGATAAACAGTGTAAATATTTATACTGGCACCACACTCTCTTTGTCTACTGTCTCTCTTGTTTTCCCTTCCTTCCGCCTTCCCCCAGTCTTTTTCATAATGAGATCTGTGTGCCTTTGCCTGGTCAGTCAGGAACAGTTAATTTTTCCAAAAAGAACACATTAATGTGCAATTAAGTTGTAGCTTGATATTTTCAGTTATGCTACAGTGGCCTGCATGTTTAGTGCCATATCCTGATACTTTAGCAAGAGTTATGTCATTAAAGCTTTTACATAAGCTAAGGGTAAACCTTAAAAAACACACAAGGGAACATAAATACAATATGGTTTAACAACATTTATCAGTGTTGGTATAAACGTTTGGCCATATTCCAGTAGTCTCACTCACAGACGTACGTAAACTGTGCATTGTTTTTAACTTCTGCTAACTTATTCCCTTCCTGCACTAATGTTTTTGCAGAAACACTAGTTAAAGGCTCTGGTCATAGGCGCAGGTATTTGTGTTATGGTCCATGATTGTGGAGCCATGGTGTGGTGCTTGTATTGTCATTGTTAATTAATTGACACAAGCAGTCTGCAAGCATCAGCTTCTATATTATGATTTTCGGAAAAGAAGACAACACAAAAATGTACTAACTGGAAATTTTTCCTTTAATCAAGAGGATGAGACAAAAATAGACAATCTTTCTATACATATACATGGTAGGAAATGTAAAAGAAACATAACACATATAGGTAAATAATAAAGAATATACCGAAACAAAGATTTCAATGTCATCATTAGTTAGTTAGTTTAGAGTTACTGTATGTCCAGTTAGTTAAGAGTTTCCAATACACATACTACTTAATGCATCAAGGCACATGTGTAAAATGTGTATTTTGGTCTTGCAGTTTCTATTTACAGTGTTTTTCTTTAAGAAGGTACAAATGACATCTGTAATAAAGGGAATTAAGAGTTGAGGCAATACTGGCCTCTACATCAGACAACAGCCACTTGGAATATAATACAGGAGAGGTCATTTACAGTATTTGACGGACACACATACACACACACACACAGACACTTGCAAATGCATTAACAAAACACATGACTAAAGTACTGGTACTAGTGCACATGTAATCACTGCCACTCTCTCTTTCACACTTACACTCATTGACAAATCAGACATTTTCTTTATACACACCACATGCACCTGCTGTGTACACTGTTTGAGAGAGACACCGTGTTTTGTCAAAATGCCTCACTCACTGTTAAGAATACTATGAACAACACCTAAGAATGATGCTTTTAAGTTGTAGCAATTATAAAACACTACTTCTCCATTTAACATTCATAATTCCTGGAGCAGTAGTGCAATAGCAGTGGGATTTCTGCAAAATATTTTGGTTTCTACTGTCCTTTTGTTTACTATTAAAGCTCTGATGCCTTCTGTTGGGCAGACGATGCCCATGGTCTGACTACAGCAAACTTTAGTTTCCTACCTGGATGCTAAACTGACAATACTTGCTAAAAACTTGCTAATTGTGCTAATTTCAATCTCGATTTTTACAAACGCTGCATTTACACACAAACACAAAATCAAGGTGCTTTTTACCAAATATTTGCCAACAAGACTTGAAAATCATATTGTGCTGCTTTAAGACCAATGGATGTGAAAACTCAAAGGAAAGCTCTAAAGCAAACATTTTCAGACAAAGCCATGTAACTAAGTAGTCAAATATGAAATTTCATTAGTTTCATTGCACAGTTTTAGTGTCTTGATGCTATTTAGAAGCTTTAACACCCAACAATCTGGAAAAAAACTGCACTTTATTCAGGCATCTTATCTATAGTATTGGTATTGTTCATGAAAAGGTCAGACCTAGTGTGCAATAAAATTAACTTAGGCAAATTTAATTTTGCTGCACAATAACATCCAAACTAAGAAATATGACTTGTTAGTTTTACTTTTGAAGTGATGATGCCCGTTTAGCAGGGCAGTCAGATAAATTCTTCAAATGAATAATCAACATGACCTCTACTACAAACATCAGCTTAGATTATGAACTGACATGTTTAACGTGGCATTGTGTAGGTTGATTGTAACATGACAAGAAGAGCTGCTATAATATGGAAAAACACAAGTTCACTTCCAAACAAAACACAATGCATTAGTTTCCTTAATTAGACTGTGATAAAACCTGAAACCTGATTTTTAAACAATGACAAAACATTCAAACCAGGCCAGGTCACTGTAGACATCATCAAAACAAACAGTATACAAACATCTGCATATATGATGTTTACCTAAATCCATAGGTTCAAATTATGTCTTAAAGGTAGAGTCACTGTGTTGCTGTCCCATTGCCAAGTGCAGGCTGTTTTAAGGCAGGTCTCTTTGGGTGATGTCCATTAAGTGCATTAACATTATTGCTACTATTTTGAACAATACAATGGTCCTCAGTTACCTCATATACAGTATTCAATACTAGTGGTACACCAATAGTTCATCATTGCTTTGTATGTGTGTGTGTGTAGATATGTGTACGTGTGTGCATTTAAGACACTGAACAGCAGTGAAAAATAATCCTGCTCTGAAAATCTTGCCCACTTTTCAGATTAACTGCATAAGAAATTCAACTCCACAGAGTAAGTCAGAGACTTTATAAGACATCTCAGATTAAGAGTGGGAAAAACATAGCAAACACAATTTCATCCAATTCATCCAAAAAAAACAACAACAACTATTAAATAACCTACAGAGTATTTTTTCCCAGAGCTTTGGAATTTCTAATGGTTCACATTATGGAATGAACAGTGCAATAAAATAACAAGGACAATTGCCCTTTCTTTGTTTGTACAAAACCAAAGTTGTCCATTTTGTGTCTTCGTTTTCTCTCTTTCCCTCAAGTTCTTTGTGGTCTTCTTTTAGTGGTTAAACAGCATGTAATGACATCTTTATTCTTTATTTATGATGTGACCACTTCATCGTATTGATATTTTTGCATATACGATTTCACCTGAAGTTTAAAGATGGGGTATGCAATTCTGGAGTAATCCATTCCATGTCAAATACCATGATATAGAGAGAATGACACAGCAAGTAATAAGTAAGTTGTGGGTTAGTAAACTGTTGCTACAGTTGATGCTGCAAAGCTCTGCTGCTGCAGAGGACAAGACTGTTTCCCAGAGCCAGCAGACCAGCTTCAGACAGCACAATACTCACAAATCTCCTGCTACCATAGCTAACATCACAACAACATGATTCTCGGCAATCTCAAAAGTAATCTAATGTTACCTGACACACAAATCATGGCTGGACGGGCCGAGTCACTTTGTTTATTTCTCATTTATAAAGTCAGGGAAGTACAAACAACAGATTTTCTTTCAGCAGGCCGTGAGGAGTTTCACTGAATTTGACAAAAAGACGTGTATTGGATTAGAATTGCATAACACACCTTTAATTCTGCGTCAGCCATTCTGCATCCCATTTATTCTGTGTTTGCTTGTTTTCCTCCTCCTTTGAAACCTGATGTTGCGTCGTTTCGTTTAGACAAAGTTAAGGAAACAAAACAGCTGCTGGTACATAGTGCTTCAAGATGAATCAGTATCTGAATTCTGGCTATTCCTAAAAAGGCTATGGTCACAGAGCTGTGGCACTGGACTTCTGAACACACACAATCCGATGTCAGTCAAGAGACATGAAAAATCTATTAAAAATCATCTTGTTTTGCTCTTTGGTGAAGTTTCAGATTGTTTCGCACCTGCAGGTTGTGCTGCTGGTTTCAGCTGAGTGGTTACCAGCAATGAGGTGATCACACTGCAGGTCTGTAGAGGTTCAGCACTGTGTGTTAGTGGATGTGCATGTTAGTGAATAAGGCAGATGGATCTGTCCCAAACCTGTCCCCTTCATGGTCATGTGACAGCGCAGGTGATCCCAGGCTACAGGTTCCTGAAAATGAGTTCTGTGAGGTGATTGGTCAGATTCTTCTACATGGAGTCACTGTCATGCTCCATTGGCTCGTCAGGGAGGCTGGAGGAAAGGCTGATAAACAGATGTGAATGGAGAGTTGGAAGAGTTAGGGCCAAAAACATGGAAATGTGATTTTTGTGTGGTTGCACATTTGTGTGTGTGTACCTTTTGTTGGAAAGGACTCCCACAGAGAGTGAGGCCAAAGCATTGACAGCATCTGTTTCCTCACAGTCTCTTCTCTGAGCAGCCAGGTAGGACAGACCCACTGATCCACAGTAAGCCTTTACACTCTGCCAGTACTGACCTGCAATACCCACATACATCTAGGTTAACACCACATTGGGGTGGACCCTGTTCTGATGTCAGTATTGTATCCGGAGGCCATGTTGATTATAGTAAGAAGAAGGAAGCAAGAGAATAATCATGACACTCCTGGGGCTTTTATAGGATTAAATAATGGTCAAAATGGCACAAATAAAATAATTAAAGTGTTATTGCTGCTCACTTTGTATCTGTATGACAGTCTGCAGGGAGGACACTGCGGTAGCGCTGGGATTTTGGAGTAGAACTTGTTCTTGCAGTGGGTCCTACAGGACAGAGGCAGACAATCAAATTACCGTAATTCTGGCATCTTTTCAATGGTTGAATGTTTGGTTAAGAAGTGATGAAGAGATAATAATAATAATAATAATAATAAAACATGTGCAGCATTATATTATTATCAGGACCAACATACCTATACCAAAACAACAAAAAATACAGTACTGTAATTAAAATGGCTAATTTCCTATCAGTAACATAAAGATAATGCCTGTGTGAGTCCGTACACGAATCTCAATGTAAAAATTTCCACAGTAAGTACTATGACAATACACTATGTGTTCAATGGTTAAGTGTATTCATGAGCATTATTATTATTTTTCTTAAATTTCAGCTGAGAAAACTAAAAAAGAAGCAAACAGTTCATTTAATGTCCATATAAAGCAGAAAATTACGATTTCCTGATTTTTCTGACTTCCCTGCCTGCAGTGTAACCTTTGTAAACCCTCAAATCCAGTCCACAAATTCAAATTCCACTAATCCTGGGAAGCATTTCAGCACTGAATATAGATGCTTCATCCTCTGTTAGTTAGGGGTGCTTGACTGGGGGGGCTGGGCCCCCGTCCAGGGATGAGATCGGCCTCGGGGGCTGCTGGCACTGCCTGCACTCTGGGGAGGGATGCCTCTGGCTGGGCTGGGGGACCGTTGGCCTGGTTCTCCCGCGTTATTGCTCCCTGGCGGCAGGGAGCTTCCTGGCATGGCTTTCTGCTGTTCTTCCTTGGAGCGGGGTACAGCTTCCCCCTGGACATGCGGTCTGGGGTCCTTTGCGCTTTGGGGGGTCGCGGGGTGCCCTGGCTTCTGGGGGTGGGGGTCTCTGCTCGGGTTGATCCAGTTGCGGTTTGGAGGGCTGCGGTGGGATTGTGGGGCGATTGTCGATGCATCTTGATGCATTGTGCTTTTTCCCTGGGCAGGTTCTCTGAATGGCTGCTGGGCGTTTAGTTTGTGCATTGGGAGTCCGGGGGAGGCTTTTCCTCGTTAGCTGGGAGGGACCAGTTGTTTTGCTTCGTTGGCCTCGGATCCATGCTTCCCCATTTCTCTGTCGGCCGGTTGTTGGACCCCTCTGGATACTCAGGCATATAGTTCATTTTCGGGATGTGCAGTGTGCGTGCGGGGCAGGGCTGTGCTCCGGTTTGTTCTGGGCTTGTGCCTGGAGTTCTCGGCCCTTGACGAGTGGGTGGGTTGGTGGTGGCATGCAGCTGAGCTAGTTGATTTTGCCTCGTTGCTGGTTTGGCTGGTGTTGCACGGCGGCTGGGGGGCGTGCTGGGCATGGGGGATGTCGGCTGGCGTCGGCGGCCTTAGTTTTTTCCGGCAGTTGGGGGGACGGCGGACTTTTATAGGCGGGTGCACGGTGACCGTTGTGGCGCGTTTGCTGCCGGGCTGGGACTTGCTGCTGGTGTTTCTCTCTGCTGGCTTTCGCTGTCGTGTTATTCCGCTTGCTCTCTCTCATTTGCCCGACCTCGCACGCAGGATTCGCGGGGGGCTGCTGGGCATTGGGTGTCGCCGTGCTCGCGCAGTTTGCGTGTTGGGCTTGTTACTTGTGCATTGGTGTTGATGATTGCGTGGCATTTGGGCGTTTTGGTTGTTTGCTGCGTGGCGGTGGAGGGGGAGCACTGGTCTATGTTGTGTGCGCGCCGCGGTCGGCCCGGGCGCTGTTCTTCCGCTGGTTACAGGGGGTTGCGTTCCGTCGGCATTACGTTGTCAACTGGCATTTGGCTCGGGGTCTTCCGCGTTTCCATCGCGGTGCATCTGGGAGTCTTTGTTTTTTTTTCTTCTTTCTCCCACTCTCACTAACAACTACATTCTTTAACAAGCTTATGCGCACACACATGTACACACACACACATACAGACACATTCACCCACATGCACACAGACACACACAGTCTCACACATAGACACAAACAAATTTAGGATGTCCCTGGTAGAATTATTCCTGATGCTTTTCTTTCAGTTACTTATTTCAATTAATTATTATTCCAGCTCTCGTTGCTGTGCTGTGTTGCTTATTTATTGTGCGTGACTGTTTCTTGTTTTCATTTTTCTCTTAGTTGTCTTACTATGTCAGCTGTTTATTGCTGCTGTTCGGCTGGTTGTCTTTTACTATTATTATTATTTTTATTGTTTGTTTTTGTTTGTGTTTGTTTGTTGTTGTTTTTCTCCTCCCCAAGCCCCCTCTCTGTTCTATTACAGGTTTCGTTGCTTTCTGCAATTGGTGTTTCCCACTGCTTTTCCCTGTTGTCCCCACCTTCCATCCCCCTTCTCTTACAAGTCTTGTCCTTTCTCTGTGCTGTCTGTTTGTGCCCCCCTGTCCGGCCCGGTGACAAATCAATATATAATTAAATAAATAATAAAACAGACAAAGGAGTATATTAATACTCTCTTGTTAAAGTAAAATCTGTCTGGCACAATATGGTATCCAGGTCATCATACTCTATACCAGGCTGCTGGGCAGGACAGGTTTAAAAAAAACAAATACAAAAAAACAGATTACCCTAAAAAGACATGTAAAGAGGACTCCATTACCCAGTATGCCTTACCTGTATGCCCAGGAGTGCACTGACACAGGCTTCAGATGCGTCACAGATAGCTGTAAGGTCGTGACCTCCCTCAAGGGCCAAAACCAGACGACCCCCTGCCAGAGACATTAGTTGGCGGGTCAGGAAGCTGAAGCCTGTGGTAGACAAACACACAAAACACAAACAGAAATGTTAACCTCAAGTATTAACCATGTAAAAACAATAGAGCTTGGCAGGTAAGCTGCAATCATCAGACCACCTACTTTGTGGATTCCCGATAGCAACACACTACCTACTAATTGCCGTGACCATGAGAGTAAACGCTGGTGCGTCCTTTTAATGTTTTTAGTCAATTTTAACTGATGTCCACGATTTTTAACTGAGTAATTGGAGGCCCCACGTACTACGGAGGAGTTGAAACAAGCCACTGCTTCTATGAAAAGACATAAGTCACCGGGGCTTGATGGGATACCTCCAGAATTACTTTTAGCAATCTGGGATCTGATTGCCCCGTTGGTGCTTAAGTCTATTCAATATTCACTTGAGGTTGGTTATTTTCACAGAGATCAGAGGGCTGCATTGATCTCTGTACTGTAACTGGGAAGGATCTGTTAGATTGTGGGAGTTATAGGCCTTTTCCTTGTTAAACTCCAATGTTAAAATATATGCAAAGGCTCTTTCTAATAGATTGAATATATACGTATATTGTAAAGTTGATACATGAGGATCAGACTGGCTGCATCAGGGGCCGTCTGGCCTCAGATAATGTTAGACGCCTCTTGCATATAATTGACACTTCAAGGGATAAAAATACATGTGCAGTACTCAGTTTAGATGCTATAAAGGCCTTTGATAGACTGGAATGGAGTTACCTGTGGGCTGTGCTTAGGAGATTTGGCTTTGGACCCTCTTTTATTCATATGATCCAAACCCTGTATGCTAAACCTACAGTCTGTGTATCAACTGGCCACACAGTCTCTTCACAGTTCTGTCTTCAGAGGGGTACAAGAAGACAAGGTTGCCCCTCTTTCCAATTTGGTTTGCTTTTTCACTTGAGCCGCTAGCACAGGCTGTTAGGCAGAGCCCTTTGATCTCTCCAATTCATATTAATAATACTGTACATTACATTTCATTATTTGCAGATGATATTATCCTCTTTCTTTCAGATATTAATAATTCTGTACCACAAGATTTTTTATTATTTGAAAGATTTGTTTTTTTTTCCAGTTACAGAATAAATCGGGGGAAATCTATATTAATGCCTTTAGCATCAACTCCTCCAAAACTTAGTCTCCCTGCTTTTGTACCCATTAAGATTCAGTCCTTTGGCTTTAATTATCTAGGTGTGAGTATTCATCCCACTTTGATCAGCATATGTAAATACAACTATGATGTCTTGTTACAGAAGATTAAAAATTCTTTGAATAGATGGTCTCCTTTACAAATGGATCTCTGTGCTGAAAATGAATATTCTTCTTTGGGTAAATTTATTGTTTTCTTCTATTTTTTAGGGTTATTGATAAATTCTGTAGGGGAGAGCGGGGTATGTTGTCACACTTTTCACACCATCTAATATTTACTGAGCACCGTACATCACAATGGTACAAATGTTGAACCAAAGAATGAAGTCTTGGGCAAAAGTTTTGTATTCATTACATCTTCATATCTTATCTCATTATGGAGCTGTAGACTGTTGAATAGAGAGTGTGCACTTGTTGACAATTTGCCCCATCGGCAGGTAAGTTGTCACACTGGATTATCAAACAGTTAGAACACTTAATTGTGAATACTGATTTCAATTTCAATTTGTAACCAGAACTAAAAGTAAAATCAATCAACAATCAAGCCTAGGGAATTTGGAAAATAAATAATTTAATTCAAAACAAAAATGTTGGCAGAGCACACATTAAGTGGGACAACCTCTTTCTTTGAACTTTAAAATTAAACGTTCTCTGGTGTGCAAATAGATCTATGGTAATTGAATGTAATGCTGCAGATAACTTGCTTAAATGTACTGTATAACTTCTTAACTAAACAGATGTGGTGTTTAAACACACTAATGCAACAATGTGAATTTTGTGTTCGACCTACATATGTATCTGACTAATCAGACATGTCTTTAGTGTCACAGTTCTGGCACACATAAATTGCCTGGCCTGAGGTGCAAGCATCGCAGGCCCATTTGTTGCATTTCACACACTTAAACGTCTTCTTTCGAATATTGTATGAAAATGGCTCCACACAGATGATCCAAAAGAGATGTCGGCGGCTTACATCAAAATTCTTAGCTGTACTTCTGATTGATTTGTTCTTCAACTTCACCTGCCTGACTGCCTTTAACATTATGTCAGGTGGTGTACTGTCATTCTCTGTCTTCTGTTGATAATTTTCTTCCTTCCTTCAAAAACACATTCCTCCTTGCAATTACAAATTAATTACAAGCTTATTTGTCTGCTACCCTTGTTGCCTAACTAAATTAATAACTGGATCATGTAGTGTGTGTGTGTGTTTGTATCTACTAACATACTACATGCCAACGGTATAAGACCGTATATACTCTGTCATGAATTCAGTCTTGTCCAGGCATATGGCTGCTGCTGTAAACTACAGTGTGTAAGATTCTATTTACAGTATCATTTAATACTTGTGTCAGAGGTAATTACACAATTTCACTTAGTTTTTTGAGCATGTTCTATGTGTTTATTTGTACTGGGGCAAGTAATCACGTGTGACGACTTGCCCCAAAGTCATGGAGACAACTTGCCCCAAACTGACATGTGTGATAATGTTAGCTAAATCTCAAGGTTAGCTTAACATAGCACTTCAGCTGAAGTATCAAAAGACACGTTATTGTCTCCTCTACTTTGTGCAAAGTTATCATTTTGAACATTCATACCTAATAAGGTTGGAATACATAAAATGTAAAGTGCAAATGTTTTACTTTTGAAGCAAAAAAATAATAAAATTGTGCTCACCTCAGATTAGAGTGACCTTGACCACATGTGAACAGGAAGTTGAACATAGAAAAAGAAGTCACACAAAATGGCTATTTGATTTTTGACATAGAGCCTCTAGTGTTGGAGTTATGAGCAGTGTGACAACTTAGACACGAGACAACTTACCCCGCTCTCCCCTACACTCTTTGTATGGGATACTAAACGACCCAAAATACGTTTAACAACAATGCAGAACTGTAAATCTGCTGGTAGTTTAGCTCTTCCTAATTTCAAATTCTATTTTTGGGCTTTTCAGTTACGGTTGCTAAAGATATGGTTTGAACCTTCCTCAAAAATTTGATTGAACAAGAATTGGTTCATCCTTTGAGGAAAACTTACCTTTTAGCTTTAAACTTACCTTACCTTGTAGGTATTTTGTAATACCTACAAACTTACCATTTGTAGGTATTACGAAATGTAAAAGTACATTACTTCGTTTGGGACCCATTATAAAATGTTCTTTGGAAACATGGAAACAATCCTGTAAGTTTCTTGGATACAAGCATAAATTCCTATCTGGCACAACAACTATTTTTTAACAGGCTCTAAACCTTTTGTTTTCCCCTCCTGGTATTTTATCCAAATAAAGGTGTTTATACTTTTAATGACATCTTTAACTATATGGCCTGGCCTGGCCTGAGTGGCATTGCCTCTTGGGTGTAGGCGGACCCTCAGGTCTGGGCCCTAGGGGAAGATGGGCTGTTCTGTCCCTGGGCGGGGTCCTTGCCACTCCGGGTTAGGGTTAGGGGGGTTGTGCCAGCACTGGTCTATGTTGTGTGCGTGCCGCGGTGAGTCCGGGCGCTGCTCTTGCGCGGGTTACGCCTCTTGCGTTCCATCGGCATTGCGTTGTCAATTGGCATTTGGATGGTCGTTTTTATTTATTAATTTTTTTTGGAGTGTCGCGGTACATCTGGGAGTCATATACTTATTTTTTTATTATTTTATTTATTTATTCACCCACCCCTATTGGCTACTGGGGTTCTTGCCTGCCTGTTGCTGGGGTCGGGGTGGCACAGTTGTGGCGTCCCACTCTCACTAACAACTACATTCTTTAACAGGCTTATGCACACACACATGTACACACACACGCACACATACAGACACATTCACCCACACGCACACAGACACACACAGCCTCACACATAGACACAAACAAAATTAGGTTGTCCCTGGTAGAATTATTCCTGATGCTTTTCTTTCAGTTACTTATTTCAATTAATTATTATTCCAGCTCTCGTGGCTGTGCTGTGTTGCTTATTTATTGTGCGTGACTGTTTCTTGTTTTCATTTTTCTCTTAGTTGTCTTACTATGTCAGCTGTTTATTGCTGCTGTTCGGCTGGTTGTCTTTTACTATTATTATTATTTTTATTGTTTGTTTGTTTGTGTTTGTTTGTGTTTGTTTGTTTGTTGTTTTTCTCCTCCCCAAGCCCCCCTCTCTGTTCTATTGCAGGTTTCGTTGCTTTCTGCAATTGGTGTTTCCCTCTGCTATTCCCTGTTGTCCCCACCTTCCATCCCCCTTCTCTTGCAGGTGTTGTCCTTTCTCTGTGCTGTCTGTTTGTGCCCCCCCATCCCCATGTCTGCCCCCCGGAGACAAATCATAATTAAATAAACAATAAACAGCCAAAGGAGTATATTAATACTCTCTTGTTAAAGTAAACTCTGTCTGGCAAAATATGGTATCCAGCTCATCATGCTCTATACCAGGCTGCTGGGCAGGACAGGTAAAAAAAAAACAACAAAATTTTTTTTTTTCTCTTCACGGTTCGTCTTATTTTTTTTAAATCTTAGGTTGCGCTCTGCTCTTAGGGCTTGGGATACAGAGCTGAGTAACCATCCCTTGCCTGAACATCTACAGAAAGCTACACAAAACCAGGGTGTGGTTACTAGATTGTATAATGTATTTGCTATACATAAGGCTCCAGGTTTAGATTTTATCTCAATCTAGAGTAGGGAGCTGGGTGAAATTGGATTGGGAGACTATTTGGAATAATATTTTTGTTTCATCAAAAAAATTGGCTCATCAGTTAATACATTTTAACTTTACCCACATGGTCTAAATAACACCTTGCAGGGCTTTTTTGATGAAGTTTTCTAATGATAAATTGTGTAATCAATGTAGCACAGCCTCTGTTGGTGACTACAGGCACATGTTTTGGGAATGTCCACATATTATGGGGCTCTGGACATATATAGTAAAAGTGCTCTCGAGGATTTTGTTGGTTAATCTGCCTTTGTCCCTTCTGTTGCTGGCAGATGACTCTGGTGTGGCGCTTGACACATACCAGAGAAGAATTTTAATGTTAGCATTTACAGCTGGTAAAAAAATTATTTTAAAAGGTTGGTTTGAATTGAACATTAATTATACATCTGCCTGGATGCTTTCTTTCTCGGACATTTTACTTTTAGAACGTGCCATAGCAAGATTTCACAATGCAACTGTATACACAATCAATCACTGGTCAGCTGCTATTAATTCTGTTAAATCCCTGATGAGGTAATTGTTTATTGTATATTTTTTGTGTTATGTTTTGTGTGGTGTGCAGCAGTAATTAATTGTTTTATGTTGTTCCCCTTCGCTGTATTTGCTTGATTTGGTTGATGTTAATTATGAATGTGCTGGTGTTGTTTAATTATTTATTATTTGTTTGTTTTGTTGTTGGAAAATTGAATAAAAAACCAACTACTTGTCAGCTAGAACCTCTTACTACCATCTTGGTAAAAGCCTGCTCACCCTCTCTCTCCTCCCCATCATTATACATTCCGTTCTCTCTTCTGCTCATTTCTAAAATCAGCTGCTATAACTACTATACTTAAGAAACCTGGTGCAGACCCCAACAATTTCAACAACTTTTGTCCTATTTCTCATCCTCCTTGCTCCCTTTGACACCATCTCCCATAACATCCTCTTTGACAGATTAGTATCTCTTGGTATCACTGCTTTAAATCAAATCTCTCTGGCTGCACTCAGTTCATCCAACTCAGAACTTAAAAATCACAGCTATCTCCTATCACTATCTGTGTTCTCCAGGGCTCTGTCCTGGGGCCCCTTCTGCTCATCATCTATCTACTTCCTCTTGGCTATATCTTCCGTAAATTTAACATCCATTTCCACTGCTATGTGGATTACACCCATCTCTACCTGTCCACCAATCCTACCCCCACCCTCTCATCCACCTCCCTCTCTGATTGCCTCATGGAAAAATACTGGTTCTCCTGCAACTTCCTAAGTGACAAAACCAAGGTTCTCCTCATTGGCACCAAATCCACTTTGACAAAACTTGACAGATTTTCTCTTACCACTGACAACTCCTCAGTTTCCCCCTCCCCTCAGGTCAAGAGTCTTGGTGTCATCCTCGACAGCACACTTCTTTTGAAGCTATCATTAATAACGTTGCTCGGTCTGCATACTTCCATTTACGTAACATTAATCGCCTCTGTCTCTCTCACCCACTAGTACAGCCACTCTTGTTCACATCCTGGTTACATCCCGCATTGATTATTGTAATTCTCTTCTCTTCGGTCTTCCTCTCAAATTCATACATAAACTTGTTCATAAACTTGATCAGAACTCTGCTGCCTGTATCATCATCAGAACCTCTTCTATTTAACATATTTCTCCTGTCCTTCAGCAGCTTCATTGGCTCCCAGTTAAATACCTGATATAAATATACTGATTTCAAGACTCTGCTCCTGACCTTCAAAGCCATTCACAACCTCGCTCCTCTGTACCTCACTGACCTCCTTTATATGAACACACACACTCGTACTCTTAGGTCTTCTTCTTCTATTCTCCTCACTGTACCTCCTGCCCGTTTGACCACTATGGGGTTTAGAGCCTTCAGCTGCTCTGCCCCTCGTCTCTGGAACTCTGTTCCACCAGACATCCATAACATTGACTCACTTTCCATTTTTAAATCCCACCTGAAAACGCATCTTTTTAAACTGGCATATCCAACGTGATCACTGTTTATCTGGTCACAGCAATCTTTGGTTCCCAGTTGTTTATGTACCCTGATTTTATGAACTGTAATTTTAGTTTTTGCTAATTTTATTGATTTATTTTATTGTTTTGTTGCTAATTTTATTGTGTTTTGTGAGGTGACCTTTATTGTTCTGAAAGGTACCTATAAATAAAATGTGTTGTTATAATAATAATAATAATAATAATACTGGTTACATCAGCGAGGTACTGTAGTAGGCACAACTTCTGCTCTTTGGTCCATGTTTGACAGGAACTGTAATAATATATTAATATCTCCACAGGACCGCAAAGTAAAGTTCTTATTGGCATCCCTTGCTAAAAATGAGACCTTGAGGTAAAGACTGTGCAGTCTGTGGTAGAGATCCATGCTTACATTTGGAAGAGACCTTGTATCCTCCCAGAGGAGCAGGGTTGCCCTCTGCGGCATCAAACCCAGCCGACACAAGAACAACATCTGGGGAGAACTCCTGCGCAATGGGCATCACCACAGACCTGTGAGAAAACAAACACACAGGCCACTGTAACTTCAAGGGACTGGGAAGAGATGGCTGTGTTGTTGTAATTTCTACTGGTTGCCCATATAGGTAGATACATGTCATATATTACACAACACTCAGGATAATGCCAGTGTGCATTTTATTTTCCTTTTTACCACTAATATCAATGAATAGTCTGTGTTTTGTCATGTAATGTCTGTTCTACTTCAGGTTTGTTTAATCTACTGGCTGTAATGTACCCTCAATATGCAATCACTGTTGGCATGGAAAAATGTATTTGTATCAAATCTAAAAAAGGCATACAAATGAATCTATTGTGTCTCTGTTGGAGAACCTGCACAGTCTCAAATAAGACAAGTGTACTTGACAAAGTCAAATTGTTTTGTCAGCGCTTATAAGCAAGGCAAGGCAAGTTTATTTTTCTGGTATATTTCAACAACAAGGCGATTCAAAGTGCTTTACATAAAACATAAAAGCAAAATAGGGAAACATAAAAAAGACATAGTTAGACAAAGTTAAATTTACTGTGCAATGTAAGTTATTAATTTACAACCTTACATTTGATTTAATTAAAGGCAGTGGTAAAAAGAAAAGTCTTCATCTTGATTTAAAAGAACTGACAGTATCAGCAGACCTGCAGTTTTCTGGGAGTTTGTTCCAGATATATGGAGCATAAAAACTGAATGACAGACAGAATGAGACCTGTCCCTGACTACCTGAGAAATCTGAATGGTTCATAACGTAACAGAAAATCTCCAGAAGTGGAGTGGCGTGATTCACTTTTTTGGTCTTAGTGAGGACTCGAGCAGCTGCTTTCTGAATCAGCTGCAGCTGTCCGATTGATTTTTTAGGTAGACCTGTAAAGACACCGTTACAGTAGTCGAGTCGACTGAAATGCAGTTTTTCAAGGTCCTGCTGAGTCCTTTAATCCTTGATATATTCATCAGGTGATAATAGGCTGACTTTTTAATTGTCTTAATGTGGGTGCTAAAATTCAGGTCTGAGTTCATGACTACACCAAGATTTCTGGCTTGGTTTGTGGTTTTAACATTACTGATTGAAGCTGAGCACTGACTTTTAATTCTTCTTCCTTGGCACCAAAAACAATGACTACAGTTTCATCTTTGTTCAACTGAGCTGCTCGGTGTTGTTTGTGGACTTCAAACAGATAAATATTTCCTTAATGCTATTGTTGTTAGGGGAGTGCTGCTGCCCCGGGGAGAAGAGAGAGACTCAATTCTGCAGCTGATGCTGTCGGCGGAGTTCAAAGCAGGAGTGTGTGAGTCTGTTTCCCATTAGAGGCTTGTCACTCTCCTCACGTCATTGACAACACAGAGAAAAGACAAAAAACAGCCCATCTGGGATCCATTTCCCTTCATTACTCTGCCTGGGGACTTTGGAGACATCCCTCCCTCCCCTTCATACACACATACATATTCAAACACACATGCACATTTCCAAACACACACTGCATGCAAATGGACAACATAAGCTCCTAGACAAAAATGAGGACAGAGATAAATCACACATTCCAGCATGAGCATATACACTCAAATACACAACACAAAGATACATAGATGAATTTTCATACATACAATGGTGGTGGTGGTGTGTGTGTGTATCAAGCGACAACCTCCGGCTCTCACTTCCGATACCAATACGGAAATATCTGAAACTGCAATTCATCGAGTGGCCACTTCAGACTGGCTGCAGAAGGGAGTGAATCTCCATTGACCCCCATGTTAAAATGCCCAACTTCTTAGCAGAATAAAACATGTTTACAGCCTGGGTCAAAAAATGGTTTTAGTGCATATCGCTAATTTTGTCCTTCGTGACAACTGTGAGGGGGGTGAATTTTTTTAATTTGTGTGTGTAATTTTAATATTTTTATAACTCACCTTTTTAAATTATATGAAGCCTTAAAGTTCTGCATTATTAGGGGAGTGGCCGCTTTAATTAACAGACGCCATTAGCCGCTGCCACTGTTAGCACTCGATCCGCCATCTGTTAGCCTCACTCAGCTACACGGAGCTCTGAGGCTCAGCCTGTTGGAGCCTTTTGGACATTTCTACATGCAGATACCAGATGAATAATGGCAGGCTGTGCAGGTCGTTGGAGAGAGAACCTCCAGGAAATCCGTGTTCTACTTGATGAGTGAAATTCCTGTATTTTATTTATGTGTTAACATTTAACAGGTATCGCTGTCGGCATATAGCTTGTTAGCTTAACGTTAGCTTGTTGCGGTAATTAGCCATTAGTGTAAGTAACGTTAAGTAAGTTAGTGTGTTCTAACCGCAGCTTTTAATGAGTCAAAGACAAGTCAGCAAGAAGGGAGAATCCAAAATCTAACGTTATTAGATTAACCTTAGTGTTAGACATTAGGGTGATAATGCTTTGAAGAAAAGGCGTCTGTGTGAAGTTGTAAGTAAAGGCTCAGCTCTCAGTTAGCTGACGTTATGTTAACGGTAACCTTTACTAATGGGCGATGTGAGATTTAGTTACGTCCTGTAACAGAATCACTGTTCAGTTAGATACTAGTCAGATACTATTGTAAGTGGCTGCACCTGATCCCGATGGACAAGAATGGTTTAAAGGCAGAGAGCCGAGGGGGGAGCGGCTGCGGTGTTCTGCCTGAAACTGTCCCGCCGAGGAGCACCGATGCCAATATTTGAGCTAGCTGTCTTTCCCGAGGAGAGCCGTGTACCTTCAAGCGTAACATTACTGTTTAAAAACAATAACGTTATACTATTCTTTGTGGGGTTCATCAGTGGGAATGATTGATTCAAAGTACATATTGAAGGACGTTCAGTCTCATCAATAAGTTATTACACTTAGTAGATGTAGCATTCCTTGAGATTCAGCAAACACTCTGAGGTGATAACTGCATTTGATCAGTGACGTTTCTGGAAGCTTAAGAGATGGATGCATTATTCGGCAGAACAGCTGTTGTAGGCTACCTGCAGAGGTTTACATCCACCTTTTTTGTCAGCATATAATGCGAGTTATGCATGCAGACAGGTAGCTGTGCTTTAAGTAGGGCGATGGTTTAGTTAAAGCAAGAAATTAGGTGTGTGAGAGTTCAATAAGAAATATAAAATAAGATCCTTATAATAAACGTTCAATAAGATCTGACTTGAGTAGTTATTATTGCACAGTGTCCAGCAGAAAACCGTAGATTGCACATATTAGTAAACAGTGTATTTTACATTGCCACCCCCTAATTACTGTCACATGCCGGAGAAGTTATCATGCTGAGGCGATCTCAGAGTTCAGTAGCTTTATGGCTCTTTGGAAGAAGCTGCTTAACTGGTTACCCACTGTTGTCTTTACAGGTGCCAGAGGAGCTGATTGCAGAACCCTCCAGATGTGATTAGCTGTGTCCAGCTCTTCAGGAGAGAACAGCTCCAGCTTCCAGCTCTTCAGCTCCTGCTTTTCTTTTTACTCACACCACCTGAACACTACTGACGTGAAATTATGACACTGGGTTCTTATCAACAGATTCTATCATTATAATAACTCCCAACACATTTCAAGTCATACAAAACTACTACCTACATTTGTAACCTTTTAATAGTTTAATTTATTAAACTATGGCTTTTGTATTAGGAAGACTGTTAATTGGAACTAATTATACATAATAAAATCATTCTTCATTCATCATCAGTTTCATATTTTAATTTTAAATAGTGTGATCTAAACTTAACAATATATTATAGTTAACAGCTGTAAATGAAAATATTAAGATGGTATTTATAGGCTAACATCTTACATATATGTTAGTAGAAAGTAAAAAATGAAAGGTTGATGTTTTATACCGTTTTATTTTGACATTTCTTTAAGAGACAAATGTGACATTGACTGAGAAGTTACTCTGTCGTGGAAAAACAATTATCTGCACGCTGAATAGTTGTGAAGCCAGTAGTTGTGATGTCATTGCGACCTCTGAGAAGGTCTCGTGTGGTTTACATTGTATAGACTCATCTATTCACTACATGTGCATTCGGTCAGCTCTGAGACCTCAGAGTTTGCAACGTCACAATAAAAACCACCTAGTGGGATTCATAATTACTCTGTGCAAATCATTCTTTGTTTCAGCACTTACCCACAGGATGGTTTGGATGTGCCCACATTATTCTGTGTTTAAACTAGACTTATATCAGAGCAGCAAACAAGGCACTCTTCAGAAACTTCAGGCTCTGTTATACAGTATATGGGTACTGGGTGTATGGCTCCTTATTTATCTTAAAGTATAAGGTAGAAAGTAAAAATACTCCCGCACACACACAAATACACTGCATAATTACTTTTCAACATTTCATGTGAAACATGTTTGGGAGTATTTTCACTTTTTAACTTATAATAGACTGATGTTTTTAAGCAAGAGTTCAGTTTTAATGTTTCATGTTTTATCTGTGGTATACTCTTCAGTAAGTAGTAAAGACAGGGAGTGCTAATATATATAGAATTTATTACAAGTGAACCATAAACCATATCTTTGTTTAAATGGATCTATGATACAAATATGGACAACATTTAAAAGTCAAAGTAAACAGAAGGAGAGATGGCTTTTCCACGTCAGTCCACGCCAAGAGATACAGACTTCCACGACAATAACAAGGCTTCCAGGTCTCACCAGGTGGGACATCTGATCCACAGTGTGACTCTTCGAGGAAAATGTATAATAAATTCTTCAGGTGAAAATATAAAGTAAATACAGATGATTCTTTAATAAACAGAATATTGTGGTGAAGTTCATTTTCTAACGTAATTTAATTCAAAAAGTGAATATTTGATATATTCTAGATTCATTACACAAAGCATTTGACGAAGCATTTCAAACCCTTTTTGTTTTCATCTTGATGATTACTGTTTACAGCTCATGGAAATAAAAACTCCACTATCTCAAAATGTATAAATATTTTAGAATAGCCTAAATACATGTTCTGTATTATAAATTATACAGAAATAACTGGAGAAGAGCTCTCTAATAAGCTA